AATAAGTAATCAGTAAAGTAACGGGATTACTTTTTGGGGGAAGTAATCAGTAATTAATTACTGATTACTTTTTTCAAGTAACTTGACCAACACTGGTTGGGTTTTAAAGATTATAGCAGGATTGCTGGTAGTAAGAAAATTATCAGATACTTCAAGTGGGCAATTACTCTTAGCACTAATACTAGTGGCATGAAAGTAAGAAATGGAAGTAGCTGTAATGTAAAGCATAGTACAAAAAAATAGCTGATTACCCCTTAGTGGCATATACAAGCAATGAGATTTTTTCAGCTCACCTGTTTAAATTTTATTCAGGCTTAAAGTTTATTTATTAGCGCCGTGGCTACCTTAACTAGCCAATGCTAACTGCTAGCGTCTTCTGCTGGGATTCACCAATTTGTTTTTAATTCACTGAGCTTGACCTCTTTACAGTTTGGCCTTTTATATATTTAATTGTACTAACGGACCTCCCAAAAATTCTGCATCCCCTTTGGTGAGTGAATGTCTTATGTTTATATATTACACATCACAGTTAGCAGGTGTATGTGAGATACACTCAGCTAGCTAAGCTTGGGGCGATCATGGCTCAAGAGTTGGCAGTTTGTCCTGTATTCGGAAGGTTGCCGGTTCGAGCCCCGGCTCTGACAGTCTTGGTCGTTGTGTCCTTGGGCAAGACACTTTACCCGTTGCCTACTGGTGGTGGTCAGAGGGCCCGGTGGTGCTAATGTCCTGCAGCCTCGCCTCTGTCAGTGCGCCCAAGGGTAGCTGTGGCTACAATGTAGCTTGCCATCACCAGTGTGTGTGAATGACTGAATGTAGTGTAAAGCGCTTTGGGTCCTTAGGGACTAAGTAAAGCACTATACAAATACCTTGGTTATTGAATCTGAAATTAAAAATGGTGAAACAACATTTTATGTACTTGAAATCAGCACACTGTCACCGTGATAGTGATGTGTCATAGCGAACGAAATGGCTCTTAGAGCCGGGTCTTTGACGTGACCGGGGCGAGCCGGCTCCTTATCGCGAGCCATGTTTTTTTTTTTCTCTCACCCTCTCTCTCTCTCTCGCATTTTTTTCCGCTTTACTCCGCACGCGAGCCTTGTGCTTTGCGCTGGAAAGAGGGGAAGGGGCGGTAGTTACACTTGCAGCAGCACAGGAACAGAGGAGGGAGAGACAGAGAAAGAGAGCCAGGGACAACGTCACATTAGAAAGGTATAGTAATCATCCACAACTATTTTCAGTTGCAGATGATAAAGGATTCAGAAAGTTTATTCACGCAGGCCCATATGACAGAGAATAAGCATGTTCTTTTTGTTTTCATATTTTAATTTATATTTAATTGTGTTGTGGTTTGCAGTGTTTTGTGTTGTTTCACTTTAAATTTGTTTAAAAGGAAAAAGCTGAAATTTTAAATAGTTAAAAGTTGAAATGTGAATAGTTGGTTTTTGTATTATATGATTTATTTATTACATTTTATGTGGAGTGAATAAATAAAGTATATTTACGCTGACCCCTCGAGACAAAGCCCATACAAACTTCAAAACACGTACAAACTCTGAAGCACGTAAAAACTCCAAAACACGTAGACAAAAGAAGTGCTCCAGGATGCTAGGGCGCAGTGTTGAGCTTTTGTTACCTAGTGGCTACACAAGGCAGGAAGTACCAACGACCGGATTTGGTGTGTGGTAATAACAGGTAAATGAACATTTTTTTTAAATTATTTGAATATATATGTGTGTTTGTGTATAAATACACAAACAATACACATATGCCTTCAATTGTGTCATTTAAGTGATCTAGGTAGCTCTGTTTTGGAAGTTCAGTTAACGCTAGAAATGTGTTTTGTAGTTTGTACGTGTTTTGTCTTTAGGGGCCACCACATATATTTATATATAAACATATATAAATAAAACCACTTTTTTTTACATTAGTAATTCCTTTTGTGCATAATTTTTTATTATTGTTAATAATAAATTAATTAAAGCAACAAAATAACCTGAAGAGCCGGCTCTTTTTAGTGAGCCGAGCCGAAAGAGCCGGTTCTCTAAAAAGAGCCGGAAATCCCATCACTACACCGTGAGGCATGCTGATGTTAGCATTTAGCTCGACTGCTGCCTAACAGACCTGTGTGGCATTCAGGAATGTAGACGGTTTGTAAATTCATGGAAGTGAAGTGTATGACATGAGTTATGATTTATTTTCCATGCTTAGGGTTATGGCCAAATTAGTTTTTCCATTTTCAGCTCTATGCTCTGTTGTGTGTTTTAACACTGTTAACAGAAAGTGTAATCACAAGAGGGACAGCTTTACAGGTTAAAGAGAGAATGAATCCAGAGCAAGGAAACTGCATCTACTCTGAATAAGAGGAGCAAGAGGGGGAGGCAGGGAGGACCAACCCGACATTGTTACCATAGCAACATTGAATTCCA